AATAAACTGACTTATGGAGACTAAAATTTAAATTTAATGAGTAGGAAGCTAAATCGGGGCCAGGAGTTCACGAAGGGGAAGATATATAACTCCGTCCAAGAATGCTGGAAGATTCTAAGATTCTTAATTGACTTCATTCCAGTTCAATTTATTGAGCGAAATAGACGTAAGAACTTGGTACTATATTTTCAACGTAAAACTTAGTGCACTGCGTATATAAACCATCTGAGCTGAAATAGTTCAAATTGGCTCATAATGGTGTGACAAACTGGATGTAAGTTTCAAAGGAAAAGGCCCTATCTCTCATCGTTCACTTCAGTGTTCAGGGCATCGCTCTTGCTCATTTCGAAGCACAAATATGTCAAGGCTGCATTTAATGCTCGCCATCGACGATGAAACCACAATATTTACGGAGAGGACGTTTCATGACATAACCACTCGGACAGAGAAAGATGCTATGCTGTAACTGACGTACCACGCAGTATTCCAATCGGTGGCAATTTTTGACAAAAGTTAGCGTGTGGTTTGGTCGTCCACCAAAAGTGCCTTTAACTTCTCACTCTAACAGACAGTTGTTTTGGCCGAAATCTTTCTCCTTTCCCCTTGCAGCATTCGAGGCGATGTGGACATGGACTGTCGGTTCCTGTCGCAGCCTCACGCTTTATCACCACTGTTCGTTTAACGTCTTTGCAACTGCCTGTTTTCGCAATGGCACACTAATTTTTTAAGCACTTTTATTTAGTTTTCATAGAGTGACATTCTTCGCATCACTTTATTGGTTTTATCTGTGTTGTCGATATATTAATCCCGACGAGGTCTAACCCGGCCCCAGAGTTTCTGACCCCTGCTATTTTATGTGTCCGTTTTTTGAATCCACGCAACAGTTAGTATGTCCATATCCCCCAGATCTTTGGTTAGCATATATGACGAATTAATTCAGCTTTATCAGAAAACCCCGCTGTCAGCCCGTCTCGAGTATTGTAAGCGTGCTACTCTGACGATCAATGACGACAAGTCTCAACGTACACTACCCTTCTCAGCAGCTACACCTATTCATTAAGAAGATAGATTTCTCATCAATTCTAGCGTTGGATCTGTCATCTTTGCGTAGATCAGTTAGAAATTGGTTGTCCTTTTTCATTTGTAAATTAATATTTGCCTTGATGGGACTCTAATTTCATCAACTAACTACCCTTCATGTCTGTCAGATTCCATCTTTCCTACGGTTTAACACTTAGTTCATCGGGTTATACAGGGCTACGTTGCATGCATTTACCTATACCTTGCCATAATAGGGTATAATAGGTTTACTATGGTATTTATCGGAGCCGTTAGTCCATCTAGGATGCAGAAAAAGACTCAAAATAAACTCATCGCCCACGGTAGCACAATGGCTTCGGCTGTTTTTAAGGTTCCTGTTTAGTCGATAGCATGCAAATTAAGAGTTTGTTTTATTTTTAAAGGCCGTCTCAGAAAGAGAATTATAGCGACAACTGGAAAGAAAACATGCTACACAGTATAGTTTTTGGGTCAGGGATATCCTGGTTAACATAGACTTTGAAGGCTGTTACTTTCAGCCAGATGTAAAAACGAGTGTGATAAACAACAATTGGTTCATTGGTTACTGTCAGAAAATCGTCTGCTTGAATTCCGCCGCCCGATATATTTGCATGATCACACTGGTTTATTAGAGATATTTGGACTGATCCTGATAAAGATAGACAAGGATTAAGCGCAGGGAACGCTCAACGATCATCACCTTCAAAGGTTTCAAAAATCCTATTGTGACAGCCAGTAGATTGTCTCGGACAACAGGGCATTGTGTGCAGACTTGTTTACGTCTTATTTAGTCTTACGGAGGACAAATATGGATAAGTTTATTTATACTATGTTAATATTCGTCGCCGACTAATTTTTGGTGTATAAAAGGTTAGTTTATGAAAACAAGAAAAAGGGAATTAATGTCTGTATTCGTGCCATGTTTACACAGTTTTTCTATTCATGTCATATTTAAGTATTTTCAAGGTGGCTGGCGTCATCAAGTATTTTTCGGTTCAAATTTTGTGAAAGACAGCAAATTTTAAAGTGTCAAATCTTGTCTAAAAATATTTTTGAAATACAGTTCGTTGCAAACTTCCCCATTTTTATTCTAAATCTCAGTAGATTGCGACTTTCTCAAATAGCATGCATCTATGTGTGCGTTTGTCAAATTGAATGTAGGGGTGTACAGCTGTGAGTCAATGTAATGGTCGTAGGTGGTCGCTCACTTGCTTGCCTAACGTTCATTAACTTGTCCCCAACTCCCACATATGGCTCGTCGAAGCTAGGCACTGCTTAGCAGTCCCAGCCCGGTAACCTCCTCGACCGGCGCGGTTAACCAGCTGAAGGTATCCGTGTGTATCTCCACACACGGTAACCTTACTTCCCTTCGCCTCCCCCATATTGTCCTCACTTTCCGTCTCGCCTTTTCACCTCCCTTCTATCCTCCACTTCTTCCCCTCCCTCCTCCCTTCCCCTCTTACTTCGTTCCCTATACTCCCTTCCGCTACGTCTACTCTCTACTCCATTCTTCCTCCACGCCCGAAAGGTCCTACGGTAAGGACGACATGCAATCACGTAGTCGGCCCGTGCTAATTGGACCGTTATGCCACTACATCTAGATATCCATATTTGATAGCGGTAGCCGTCTGGTGTGACAAAGCAGTCTGGGGAGTACAGCTTACCCCGCGAGAGGAGGCTGTAAAAAGTACGCTTAACAATTTCTGGGTGTGCGAAATCCGCTCACAAATTGTGACCCGCAGACAGCAAAAAAAACTGGCGCGCTACAAGCTGGACGTCGCCACAGGCAGAGGGACCGCTCCTCCAAACAAGGCCAAAGGGGGGGGTAAAGTTAGTGCCAGCTACACCTTCTTCTAGAGCATCCGCTCCAGGGCAGAGCGACGAGACCCGCGCATCGTCTTTGCCATCCGGAACGATGTTGTTGGACGATAGCCCTTTCTGCCGCAGGGCATCAAAGACAGTCTGATGAGCCTCCGTCTGCGTCTTTGGGAGGCATATTAGCCACCATCATCAACGTCCACGTTCCGCCCAAATCCGGCTCAGACTAGTCGAACACCAACTCCCAGGAAGACTTGCACGCTCTCCTGGCATTTGAGTCAAAGACGGACAAGTTAACTGTCATTGGTGACTGCCATGCCCTCATCAGAACAGAGGTCGTTGTCTGAAGAGAAGTGCTGGGTCTCAGAGAATCGTCTGCTGCAACGATAATGATTTCCTCCTCCCTCGAACTTGCGTAAAACATCGCTTCCTGCTGACAAACATTTTCTTCCGCCTGCTGATACGGAGGAAGGCCACCTAGATGTACCCTCAGTCGCGGTGCTGGCAGATGCTGGGCTTTTTTCTTGTTTGACGGCGAGGTCGGGAGGAGGTGATGGAAACGAGGGAAATCTGCGACGCTGACGGCTGGATGAACCATTCTCTCGTCAATACTAAGATGAAGCCCCGTATGCAACCCCACAGGAGGTCACAGTTAAGTGACACCTAGGAAAACTGCGTTCTTTGTCTGTTTACAGTTTGCGTTTCAGCAATAAACTGACCCAGAGGCTGGAAGATCTCTAAGATGCATATTAAACTGCCTCCGCGGAAAGTCGATGTTGCCAACGACGGCTCGCCGTTCATTTGAAAACCCAGGTGTCCTCGGCAGAGGATGTCGTTAGAAATAGGGCTGGCTTGAGAACAACGACGTAGTCATCATTAACTTGCTCGCCGAGGAGAATGGATTGCCCAGAGCCAATCTAGACCGTCCAACCGTTGCGAACTAAGCGACCTTCTACCAATGTCGCTGCCTAGCGTACCAACGACCGCCAAAAAAGCAGGACGGCTGGATGGCTCGCACGGCCGATAAGATCCAAGTTTACATCGACCGCAACGAACTAATAGATTTCTTCGCTGAGATGAAGGCGATATAAGTCCCTTAACCAAAGGAACTGTACCGCGTTTCAGCTACAATGAATTAACGCTCCTGAAGAAGAGGACGCAGATTCCGAAGAGCTAGGCTGAACTCTTCAGAAGCGTCCTCAGCCGTCCCTTCACAAAGTCTGACACTCCCATCGACCGGTTCTCATCAACGAAAGTCAATATCGATCTAGATGTCTCGTCCCTCCCCTACCAGAGATTCTCCGTGCCATGCGACGCCTCTTCTACAGGAAGGCACCAGGCTACGATGCAATCCTCGTCGAAATCTACATGCACGGCGCCATCGTCTGATAGATCAACTGGCGTCACTATTCCAGATGAAGTGGCGCTGTGTATAAGTACCTCGAGATTTCACAGACGCAGCCATCGTTCGCCTCTGCAAGTGCACAAAGAGCCAACAACCCTGTAACGATTACAGACGTATCTCGATATTCAACATTGTCGGAAAGAACTTCATCCGCATCCTCAATCGTCTCAGTGGACATATAGACATGGACTTCTTCCGGAAAGTCAATGTGGCACCACCGACCTGGTGTTTGCCGCTCGCCAGCTACAGGGGAACTGCCGGGGATGCAAACCCACCTCTGCATTACCCCCGTGAAATTAACGAATGCATTCGTTACAGTAAATCGCGAGGGGCTGCAGAAAATCGTGCAGAAATTCGTCTGCCCTGAACGATTCACCCAAATTGTACATCAGCTCCACGATGGGATGATAGCGCACGTCAAGGACAACGGCGTAATCTCTGAGGTGTTCGCAGTGACTAATGGAATTGTAAGAACCGAAAGGGCAAGTTTGTTTAAAAGAGAGGAAGAACGGGCGAGCGGGAAAAGAAAGGAGGCGGGAGGTTTCGTGCCGTGGTTTGAGAGCGCCTTCTCTCTGGTGTTTCAGGTGAGGACACCGAACGTGAACAAGGAAACACCCAAAACCCCGTGGATGTCGTACCTCCGAGACCACCCCCCTGACCAGCCAGTGTTTCCTCTTCCCTCCTCTACCCCCTGAGACTTTCCACGTTCTTGACCCCCTCACTTGTCCTCTCGTTTTCGTATCTCTCCCTTTTCCAATATATCGTTCCTGTTACATTCTCTTTGACTGTTCGAACCACTTCTGTAGGTTGTGTCGTTGTCTGGTCGTCTGATGGCAAGATCTAAGCCCAACCGTTCAGGAAAGGTGAAAACGGCCCCGTCCCCATCTCCTTCTACCGAGCGAGTCGACGTAAGTCCGAAACCAGACCCCCAACTGAAACCCCAGTGCGGTCCGCCTACTACAGTGGTGGCAGCGGTGGGATTTGTTTTGTGATTAGTGCCCGGCGCGACGCCGAAGAAGCCAGCCTCGGGGTTTATGGCCCTAAGAACACCCTCGTCATCGAAGCGCATCCATGCAATATCGTCACCAACACACTGAATCTTCCATCCAGGCAGCGACGGGGTCAGCATAGCCATGTTGGTCTTACCACAAGCACTGGGGAAGGCAGCGCAAACGAACTTTTCCTCGTTCTTAGGATTGGTAACAGACATGATTAACATGTGCTCAGCCATCCATCCCTCATCGTAGGCAATACGACCGGCAACACGAAGACCAAAGCACTTCTTACCGAGAAGGGAGTTTCCGCCGTACCCACTTCCGAAGCTGAGAATGATGCGTTCGTCCGGGATGTGAGCAATCATTGTCTTCTCAGTATTGCATGGCCAATTATTTATGATTTTTCCTGAATAAGGGAGTGGTAATCCGATGGAGTGAACACAGCGCACAAACGCTTTCTGTTCCCTTATGATTTCGAGGACCAGCGGGGACACACGGGTCATAATACGCATGCACAGGACGACGTAACTACTGTCGGTGAGCTGAACACCATACTTCGCCAAGGGAGAGCCGATGGGTCCCATGCTGTACGGGATGACGTACATAGTACGACCAGCCATGCAGCCGGGGTAACGGTATTTGCTGTAAGAATCCATATCCTCCATGGATATCCACTGGCCTAGAATCCCCTTGAGGCCCGCTTTCACGTGAGGGACAGTCTTGTACTTTTCCTTGGTACAAATAAACGTCTTTGACTCGACACGGGCCACATCCTTGGGGTCAGTACAGCAGATGTAGTTGTTTTCATACGCAGTGAGGCGGGCAAGGGTTCCTCCCTTTATGAGCTGTTCAGTGATAAGATCAGCCTCTGCCTTGCCACCATCGCAAATGAAAAGGTCTTTTGGCTTGCAAACTTCAACCCATTTACCAATGAATCGCTGAACGTTCTCCGGCAGTTCTCGAAACTCGCCTTTTGCAATAGGAACGTCCCCAAGATGAGGAACCTTAAGGTAATGAACCTCCGGGAAGCCAGTATCTTGTTCAGCCCACATCCCGCCCCCTTCGTCCTGAAGATGCACACGGTCGAGATGCCCACCCTACGTCCGCGGGACCAGGTACCTTCTATCCCCCACGACGTTTCAGCGGCCAAACACGACCACCCTTCAATCGTCGAGGAGGACCGTTTCGCCGGCCAGGTGGACAAATGCTTCCCAGAAACCACATCTGCACCTGTCAAAGGCCAACGGGTACGGTCTCTATTACTTCTTGCACCAGCTCTACTTTATCAGTTACCCCTTTTTATGCCACAGTAACCGTAGCTGGTCGGACTGTAAAGGCGTTGATTGATACGGAAGCGACGGTATCCTTAGTTAACCCACGGGTCTTACAACCGGGTATACAGCGCCAGCGTAATGACATTCACCACCCAGGGAGATTGACCACGGCCGACGGATCACGCTTAATACACCATGGGACCGTGCCGCTCACCGTGACGCTCCCCTATTTCACAGCCGAACATAGTTTTATCATAACACCCCATCTCACGTGGGACATACTCCTCGGGACTGATTTCCTCGCGCGTTACGAATGCCACATTGACGTACGGAATAGGCGAGTTGAGTTCGGACATACCGACGCGGAAGGCCCGGCTAAACCCCAGATCGTAGGCGAAACGGCCGCCCGTGCCGCAATCCAAGAGGCAGTTAAAATTCCTCAGACGTCTATTGACGATATACTACCCACGACAGATCGGGCCGATGTAGAGACAGAGACACTTAAACGGATGTTACTTGGGTTTCACGATGTCTTTGCGTGGGACGAGTACACTCTGGGCAGAACCAGTTGTATACGACACGCTATTGAAACCGGCACAGCGAAACCAATTTGGCAACCGCCACGGCGCATCCCAGCCCATTTGCAGAAGGAGGTCGATACGTTATTAGATAGTATGTTGGCGACGGGGGTGATAAAACCCTCCCGTTCGCCTTGGGCATCACCAGTGACTTTAGTTCCAAAGAAGGACGGCAAAATACGTTTCTGTATCAACTACAGACGCTTGAATGCCGTGACCACACGTGATTCGTTCCCTCTACCACGTATCGAGTGTACACTTGATGCCTTAGCTGGGTCCCGATGGTTCTCCACTTTGGACCTAAAGTCCGGCTATTGGCAAGTGGAAGTAGAGCCAGCAGACCGCCAAAAAACGGCGTTCATCCTCCCACAAGGATTGTACGAATTCGAAACGATGCCTTTCGGCCTCTGTAACGCGGCTTCTACATTCCAACGGCTGATGCAGGTAGTGTTGTCACACCTCAATCCGCGCCAGTGCCTCATCTACCTTGACGACGTTATTGTCTTCGGCAAAACTATCGCACTGCATAACGATAATCTACGCGCCGTGCTCCTAGCGTTGCGCGAGGCAGGCCTTACGCTTAACCCACAGAAGTGTCAATTCCTGCGAGAAAAGGTTAATTACCTAGGACACGAAGTCAGCCCGTCGGGTATCAAAGTCTCAGCTGAAAAGGCGGAAGCTATCCTCACTTGGCCGACGCCAAACTCCACCACGGAAGTCAGACGTTTTATCGGGTTGGCGTCCTATTACAGACGGTTTATTCGCGATTTTGCAGGTATTGCGCGTCCGTTACACCGACTTACAGAAAAAGGGCGCGAATTTCGTTGGACGGACGAATTCCAGGCCGCGTTTGATGAGCTGAGAACCCGCCTGTCGAGAGCACCGATACTTATGCTCCCCAATACCACCGAGACGGCGCCACCCTTCGTACTGGACACGGACGCCAGTGCCTTCGCCATGGGAGGTGTACTTTCGCAAACCGACGATAACGGCCTAGAACGCGTTATCTGTTTCGCTAGTAAAACACTCACTAAGCCCCAACGAAATTACTGCACATATCGATGTGAACTGTTGGCCATTGTCACCTTCGTTAAACAATTTCGGCCATATCTGCTAGGAAAGCCGTTTGTCATACGCTCCGACCATAAGGCCCTGCAATGGCTACAAAACACGAAGGACGCAGAGGGTCAACTTGTTCGCTGGCAGGAAATGCTACAGGAATATTATTTCACTTCTACATACCGCCCCGGGAAACAGCACGGCAACGCCGACGCCTTGTCCCGACGGCCAACAACACCAGCCACACACGATGAAGACCGCGCGATAGGCGAAATAAACGCCATTTACGCCAGCGAACCAGCTAGACACCATTGGGCAATAGCCCAGAGCACGGACCCCGATACCGCAGTAGATTACGACCACCTGTTAAACCGGCGACACCGTCCTACGGACGATGAATTGCGTGGGTCGCCAGAAGAAGCACATATACTGCGGAGCCAATGGCCACGGCTGCATATCGACGAAGATATTCTTCTCATTAAGGACGAAAGCACAAAAACCGACAGAGTAGTAGTACCAGGCAGCCTCGTACACGGGGTCCTCACGGATCTACACAACGAGTTAGGCCACGTCGGACAAGCCAAGACCGAAGCCGCCACTCGGCAACGATTTTGGTGGCCCCATCTACGAGAAAACTTCGCCACCTTCTGCAATACATGCACCACGTGCGCGACGTTCAAGGCACCTAGACAACTCCCACGAGCACCGTTGCAACCCATGCACACTAGCTTTCCGTTCCAGCGGCTGGGCCTGGACATCATCGGGCCCCTCCCCTTTACGACAACCGGTCATCGGTTCATACTGGTAATGGTGGATTATTTCACCAAATGGGCAGAGGCTGTGCCGCTATTACGATAGGACGCAGTGTCGCTCACCAACGCAATCTTTAACAACTGGATTTGCCGGTTCGGTGTTCCGTTGTCAATACATTCCGACTGCGGGGCTAACTTCGACAGCAAACTGCTGCAAGAGGTTTGTGACCTCCTCGATATCTACAAGACTCGCACCACTCCAGCACATCGCGAAGGCAACGGATTGGTTGAACGAACTAACCGTACCCTGAATCAACTGTTGAAGGCGTTCGCGGAAGACCATCACCCCCAAGACTGGGATAAACGACTACCGTGTGCCATGATGGCGTACCGTGCTAACACACACACGTCGACGGGCTACCCACCTTTCTTTATGCTAACGGGACGTCAATTTCGCCTTCCCGCAGATTCACGGTTCCCACAACCTGCCGCAAACGAATACGCACCAGATAGCTACGTTTGGCAGCTGCAGGATTTGCAACGCTCCACCTACACACTCGCACGTAACCACCTAGGAGCGGCCGCCGAACGACAGAAAACATACTTTGACCGTCAAGTCCATGGCAACCCTTACCAACTAGGCGATCTGGTTTGGCGTTTCCGACCAGTACCACCCTTAGGAACGGCGGCCAAGTTCTTTCACCCGTGGGAAGGACCATTCGTTGTTGTCGATGTCATACACCCCACCACGTATGTATTGCGCGATGCTTCACGCCCCGACGGACCCACCTTCACCACCCACTTCGACAAGCTAAAACCCTATAGAGGGCGGCTACCCACCGCCACCGCGGACGTAACCCCCATCATTCCCCCACATTTAGTTCCCACCCAGTGGTTGAACAAACAGTGGACATGACCCAGCCAGACGGCCCTGCGGACAGGGCTCCATCTGAGGAGGGGGGTAGGTAAGAACCGAAAGGGCAAGTTTGTTTAAAAGAGAGGAAGAACGGGCGAGCGGGAAAAGAAAGGAGGCGGGAGGTTTCGTGCCGTGGTTTGAGAGCGCCTTCTCTCTGGTGTTTCAGGTGAGGACACCGAACGTGAACAAGGAAACACCCAAAACCCCGTGGATGTCGTACCTCCGAGACCACCCCCCTGACCAGCCAGTGTTTCCTCTTCCCTCCTCTACCCCCTGAGACTTTCCACGTTCTTGACCCCCTCACTTGTCCTCTCGTTTTCGTATCTCTCCCTTTTCCAATATATCGTTCCTGTTACATTCTCTTTGACTGTTCGAACCACTTCTGTACGTTGTGTCGTTGTCTGGTCGTCTGATGGCAAGATCTAAGCCCAACCGTTCAGGAAAGGTGAAAACGGCCCCGTCCCCATCTCCTTCTACCGAGCGAGTCGACGTAAGTCCGAAACCAGACCCCCAACTGAAACCCCAGTGCGGTCCGCCTACTACAGAATAAACTGGGGATGAGTGACTAATATAATGCACACACTATAACGTTTGACTTTACCGGAAGACAATGGTCATACTGCGCATGCTGTCTTGGAGACTTTAAAATAGTCTTGGATAAAATGCCACTTCGCCGAATTTTGTCAAAGCTACGCCGATGTGGTATTAGTGGAACCTCCTGAAGTGAATAGAAGATCTTTTGTTCGGTTGTTCACAATTCGTCTGTGTTTGCAGTCACTGCCAACGGTAGATGATGGCGTTCAACAAGATTCCGTTCTTGGTCCTACGTTTTCCAGCAGCTGCACTCTAAAGCGTCGTGTTTGCAGATGCTATTTGACTTAAGTGCACTATTAAAAACGAAGGACGTTAACAAACATGCATAAACAAGCTAGAACAATGGCCGAGAAAGTGGCTTCCAATCTGAATGTCAAAAATTGTGGTTTAGTTGGGATCGGCAAAAGTCAGACCTGAGACAGCAGATCTTGGCACTTAAAATACACGCCACAACAGTCTGTAAAAGCGCAACAGACCATAAATGTTTGGATTATGGCCGTCCTAATTCCGTCGCTACACTACTGAAAGGTTATAAGTTCCGCGATCACCGCTGTGTATAATTAAGAAAGCTTTCGTAGGCTTTGACGAAAAATGCTTTACCGCGGTTCAAGTGTAAGTTGTCAAACCACGACCGGGGCACGCTCTCCAAACCTGAAAACAAAGGATTGTGGAAGACAGCTCTGCGTTCGAGATGTCCAATGACGTACTAATAAGTTGGCTTGAGGACTAGAATATCATATAGCAAACTGCTTTCAAATCTGGCTATTTTTCCTTCAAGTTGTAAGCATCTGCGAAGTGATCTTGTGTTGGCGTTCCGCACTGAAAAGGCCTGAACTTCTGCATTGCTTTGAGCATTTATTTGAGATGTACATCCTAACT